TAATAGTTCTTAACACAAAAAATTAAAACTAAGCATTTATGACACTCTGCATTCACACATTTCCAGAAGGTAAAAATAAAGCTTTAAAGCAAAAATAACCAACCTTGAAAATGTTGCTGTTAATCATTCTGAACTGTCACTTGAAAGGTTTTCAATGCATTACAGTTGAAATAATACTTCATTTTACTATGAAAAAATGGAATAAACTTTTCAAAATACTCATGGAGTATCCAGAAAGCACGGTCCACATGGGAACACTGATAGGTCAGCTATGGTATAAGTATTTATTTTAACTCTCATGGGCCTAGTGGCCACCAGGCAGAAGGTTACCAAGCAGTACACACTTGACTATTGCGACTACTCAGCAGGAATTTCTCAAACCTGTCCTAATGTTGTCAAGATGGAACTTTAATTAATGGCTCCATCTAAGAGTTTATTATAAAATCAGTTAGACAAGATTCTGATGACACCCTCTAAAAAAGACATGTAGAGAGTTTTCAAAGTTTTTTTGAAGAAAATATTCCAAACTTACACACCTTTGTTTTGCCTAAGTGCATTTTGCTCAGTCCACAGTTGCCACGTGGACAGGTTATTGTAAATCACCATCTTCTCTTACTGCTTGAGTCTGGTTCCAGCTTTGCAGGGCTCGCTGAGCAGTCCAGCGTCCACCAGCCACGGTCACTCTGCCATGTTCCCAACACAGCCTGTTCATCTTCACATCACTTACTCCTTGTAGTCTTAATAGGTGGCAGCATTTCAAACCCTAACATTGCAGCTTCTAATTTAAGATGTAACCATAGTAACATTACAGAACATACTACTCCCTGGATCAAGAACAAGCAGTCCACTGACCCTTCGCGGTGAGATTTAGCTGAAATAAAGCTCATTCCAACCTCCAGTCCAGCAAGATTAACAAAACCTCCAGGTTGTATTTCCTGTACAAAGCAAGATCTGCCCTCCTGACACACCCAGAAACATAGAGGATCATATAAAAGTGACTAAGAACAAAGTGCTATAAAAGAAATGGAATTTCTTCCTGAAACTTTGACTCTAAAGTTACATCAGTCACTCCCAGACAGAAAGCAGTAGAAAAATCAAAGGTTTTTCCTTACTTTTCTGTAAGATGAGCAGATTTGCTCATCCTTTATTTGAAAAAAAAAAAAAAGAGAATGAACAAAAGAAATTGGTCATTAATATTTAAGAATTCAATATTCAATTTGTTCACAAGGCAAGATGACAAATTTTACACATATCAACAGACAGCAGCTCTGCCTGAACTTTACAGGCTACACACAAGGGATATATGGTCATTTAATTAAAAGCCAAAGCTGATGTCTGTTCCTTTATAAATTTACTTTAAAAAAGAGCCTACTTAGAAAAAATAGCCCTAGGGATTTTTGTACCTTTAATATTTACCAATGAGTATTTACAGAAAAATAAGAACAGCTCTGCCCAATATGTAAACACACTAGATACAGCTCACAAGCTTCAGGAGGGACACCAGGTACAGTGTAGCAGTAGTAAATAAATTAAGTTGAAACAGTATGGATTTTAATAACCATTCTGTTGAGATTTAGACTTGCTTCCCCAATACAATGTTACATGTGTTATCTGAAAATTCAGAAGTCAGAGGCAGATTTACATGTTTGTATTTGACAAAGACATTACATCTTCTATGCAAATCAACACGGGTAGATTGACTACATGACTAACCCACTTGATTTCCTATTCGTAGCCTGGAATGCAGCAAAGTGACAGGACTCCTGAGCGCACTGTCACATGTTTGTATACGTACAGCAACAGAATGTACAAAGTTAATGTAAATTGTGGTGCCTGTTTGCACTGCTGATGGTTTAAATCATGCCCTGTCTTTTGCACGCTCCCAGTTTATGCTTGGCTGATACTGGCCTGATGACATTTTGCTTGTGTTTGGGGGGAAGAAAAGCAGTGTAAAAAGGTCTGGAGGGACTGTTAAGATAATGTCTTTTGACTGCATGGTCTGTTTTGATGGTTCAGTGCTCTCAGTGTGTCACATTATGGCCATTTTACCAGTGCTTAAGATTACTTCAGATAAGGATTAATTTTGACCTAGTTTGAGAGGATTTCTAACCGGTTTTTCACAGCCTCAGACTGTGTCTGCCTGTGAACCCACCTGCCAAAATATATGGCCTTTTTAAAACAGAGGTAATGCATTTACATACACTACTATAATAATAATATATAATGGCCCATCTTCGCGAACGAAGATTTGGGGAAAGGTCTTTTACCTTTCCAGCCTGCGCAATGGATTTTTTAGGTGAGACACAGCCTGCGCTGAACTGAGCCCACCCTTTAATCCTAAGGTTCATCTGCCGGGGCCAAGCAAGCTTGGACAATGGCAGTGAGGTCCTCAGGACGTAGGTTTGTTTAGAGTGACCTTCTCATAGATGGATGGCCTCACAGGGCTAACGGACTCCATCTGCCCGGGGGACTGGCTGGATTCGAACCTGGGTCGCAGAGGTGAGAGTCCTGCACGCTAACCACTAGGCCACCAGGGGTCCCCACATACACTACTAAAAAAAAAAAAAAAAAAAAAAAAAAAAAAAAACCATATAAACACAGCCTCGCTATGTACAAAAACCCTTTCACTAATCTATCAATCTCTCAAACCTAGAGAAAGATGGATTTTCATTCTTTTTGCCCCTATCTCAGAGTTGGAAAAGAATGAAATTTTTGAAAACCGAGATTTTATAACTTACTTTTTAGTTAAAGAAAAGGGTAAAAAACACTTCTTGCATAATTGCCTTTGCAAAAAAAGAAATAATGTGTTGCCCCTCAAACATAATAACAATCGTTTACTGCTTAACAACTGGGTGGAATTAGATTTTGTCATTTTCTACCACTATTCCTGTTCCTATAAATCTTTCCTACTATTTTAGCTAAACAAACAAGTGATTTGCCTCTTGGTGAGAAAAATGGCAAACAAGCCCCTCTCATCTCTCACTCAGAATCTCCCTTCTTGCATAATATGGGAAAAAGAAAGCAAAACACAGCGCACTAAAACTTTATTAACTATTCATTCATACCACTGCATTTTACATTTTCAAGAAGATATAAATTTTTCTTGTAACATTTGTAGTTTTTTTTGTTTTCAAATCAGTTTTCTTAGAAGTACTGTAAATTGTTTTCTTAACGATAGAAATAAAGGGTAAAAAATAGTTTAATAACATTTACACATGTAATAAAACTTAACATCTCACCATTTTAAAGCCCAATATATTCATTAATTCATATTTTTTAAATATAAAACTGACTGATACAAAACCTTTATAAAGTTTAGCAATTTCATATTTTTCTAGCCATGCTCAAGAATGCAAGATAAACCTTTTATCAGTCAGCAAACAAAAATTGCTACACATATTATAAAAAATAAAGCAATATAAGCAATTTACTAGGGAACTAAATTTGAATTAAATAAATTTACCCACAGATTGTTTCAGCATGGATTGCATGCTGATTACCAATCAATTGCTGGACTCAAGATGAAAAAGAAGATTTAAAGCCTTCTGTTTATACTGTAAAGAGAGAGAAAAATTCTCTTTGTTGCCTAAAAGCTTTTGCTATTGCCTTTCACTATGTAAATTGGTGTCATTTTAACCAAGAACATTTAAGTTTATCTCCACAAAACCAGAACACTACAGCTTTAAAATTTTTTTCCCTATTTTTTCATTAATTTCCCAGTGGCTCTATTTGAATTATTAAAAATAAAAGTTATTAGAAGTTATTAGATTCTCAAATACATCCACATACATGCAATTATCATAACAATGTTATTCAAATAATAAGTATAAAATCTTAAACATCCCCATATTTGTTACATTCAAACATTCTCAAAACATTTTGCTATCACAAAACAACATACATAATGTCAACAAGAGTGCAAAATAGCTGCTTGGAAGTCACAACTACCTGAGAGACTGAATTAAACCTGGTTACAGTTGCTCTAACTAATATTATTAAGAAATGAGGACTGTAAAACGTTCCAGAAAAAACAGGACCAACAATGGAATCTCCAATACAAAGAAAACTACACAACAAAAGATCATCCTTTAAACCTTCAGCCAAAAAGCAAAAGACACTATAACATAGAGTAACTCACCGCTATTGCTTCAAAAACTACAGACTCACCTATTCCTCACATCTGTTCCTGCCCACTTTTCATCTGAAATGGACTGAACTGTTATTAACATGTTTGCCAAGATTGTTTTTAAAGATAAAGAACGACTACAAGAAATAAGTAAATGGAACACTAAGACCATCTACATCTGGACAAACAAAAGAAGACAATAGAACAATAAGGTACAAACCGTGGACCGGGACTCTATATAAGTTTTACAACTTACTCATATACGCAAGACATTTAAATTGTTTTGTAATTAACCTATGAATGTTATAATTGATTCATGCTATGCTACAGAGTTACTTTCACATCTTGAAGCCTCCTTCTTTCGAGATTTCACTAACCCTCATTTACCTAGAAAAATACACACCACATAATTCCTTGTTAATCACACAAAATCTAACTCTTACATAAGACACATCCATTCACACACATTCCAAATAGAATAATACAACACACACTAGAAAAAGGCAAAAGATACTACCAAATACTAATTTAATTGTTTTGCAATTTCAAAAATTCCAAAACCCATAAACACAAACAATAATCCTGTATATTATTCAACAAAAGCTAAAACACATCTCACAAATCAGAACATGTTCCATTCCACAGACATACCGCACTCACCCACAGAACAAGCAATTGTAGAAAAAGCACACCACACACAAAAAAAAAATGCTTCAAAGGCAAAAAAGATGGGAATCTGTATATAACCCCCAGGAACACTTATAGAAAACATCATATGTTCTAAATTTATTAAACTGTGATGATACAGACCATAGCAGGTATGAATACCAACATAAAACTGAAATACTTTCATCTTCCAAAGCACCAGTTATGATTAAAAATCTAATATCTAGGCAATGGTCAGGACCAGTAGATCTCATAACTTGAGGGAGAATATATGCCTGTGTATCCAAGGATACCAAATTACAATGGATCCCTTCTAAATGTGTCAGGCCTTATATTAGCCCTCCCCCACAACAGAAACAATCACTAGAAAAAATGAGTGAAAAAATTGGATCTGAAGAAACATAACCAACAATAGTAAAAGGAACACACCACACATTAAGAAACATGCTATAAAAACACAAAAAAGGGGGGGAAAGAGATATGGATCTGGTCCCTATATGTGTAAATCTACATTAACACTTCTTCAAAACAGGAACGATACAACAGAACCAAAAGAAACACACAAACAGTAACCAATACAAAACCAAAACTCCATGATTCAAACACAATAAAGGGTTTAAGAATGCATATGTGAGGAGATAATGAAACGGTGGCCACCGGAATGTGAATGAGAAAGTTGAGTGGAGATGTATGTGTGTGTGAATGCAAATACACTTTATAACAAAGACATCTTAAACACTCATTCAACAACACTACCTCAAACACAACAGCAACACATTTCCCTTTCAAATAAAGATGATGCCTTTACCCAATCACACAAAATCACCCTCAGATAAAAGGTTCGACACATTTACAAACCGTGGGTAATTTAAGGTTGCTTGAATATTGCACAAACCAATAAAGTTGTAAACAGTTCAATAAAGGCCTTGTGACAATAGGCCCTGGTTTTTATAAACAGTTAAGATAAAATTGGTTACATTAAGGATGTTTAAAAGATGTATTGTTTTACAACTTGTTAATTATTTAGAGAAGGGGGAGATGTGGCAAGGAATTATGGGAGTTGTAGTTTTCCGGGTTCTCACGTATGCTCAATCAATACTTGATTGTGATTGGTTGGAAGATCATGTGACATGTTTAAGTGCTGTATTTAAACCAAAGTGTTTTGAAATAAACCTTAATTCTGCCCTGGCACTTGATCATGTCACCAGCGGGGTTAGTGCCTTATTCACCACCTCACGGGACATGTCAGGAGTCTTTGATGCTCCCCAGAGGCGTCTTCACAGCAGAGCCATCATGTAAGGGAGGACATTGGCATGATAAGAAGTATTATCTCACTTAGCAGGATTTGCCTCTTTCCTTATCTGGCAATCCAGTTTGTAGCTTCAGGTATGCATGCCCTTCAGCACCTGGGATAGTTGGACAATGGCACCCACTTATCTCATCTGAAGGTCCTTTCCCAGTAGGCATATTCAGGGAGGGGTAGGCTTTGCTGGTTGTGCAGCTGTTTCTTTGCAGTTTGACAAAAGTCTTTTGGTGATCTTAGCAATGTTTAAGTCATTAACTATTTCAGTCTTTGACACATGGTAAAGGTAGATGCATGAAATTAAGTGGTTAATTCCATTTTCAGTGCCTAAATTTGATCAGATATATTCCAACCTATACATCTTGAACCTTGTTGAAGTTTAGGCAAGATTTACTTATGGGTTGACTCAAGAACTGACTCAGAGAAATGTCTTCTGAATAGCCAAATTTGAACTTTGCAACCAAGATAGATATCTTACTAAAAATGCTTGATAGCCTGCAAATGTTAAAGAAATGAATCTGTTAGAGACTGAACTAATTCCCGAGGAAATAAATAAGAAGTCCTTACAGAAAACGCAGAATGTGGCTGAGGTGGTGTCATGATTTAAGCCCAGTTGGCAACTAAGCACCACCCAGATGCTCGTTCATCACCCCTCCACCCCACCCTGGTGAAACGGGGGGGGGGGGGGGGGGGGGGG